CAACCTAATAGTGATGGCCACCAACCTACTAGCGATGTCCTCCAACCTAATAGCGGTGGCCTCCAACCTAATAGCGGTGGCCTCCAACCTACTAGCGATGGCCTCCAACCTAATAGCGATGGCCTCCAACCTAATAGCAATGGCCTCCAACCCAGAATTGGATCGCGCACAGGAGTTGGACAGTCTTACACAGTCTTAAAGAAGAAGAGTTGATTCCTGTAACATTAGTCCATGTTGCAACAGTGGACGAAGGATCCATGTCGGTGGCAAGGTGATTCATTTTCTCAGAACTCAACAATCTGCCAGGTCATAGAATCCAAGAACTGTATTTTTTTTAGTTAGTTAGGGAAGGGCTGGAACTCTTGCTTCCCCTCACACCGCCACAGACTGAAACCATTCCTTCAAGACATCGATTCTTGGGAAAACAGCAAGCGGAAAAGTCAGCTCCGCTAAGCGTACAACACACCAAGAACAAAATATGCAAGGCATGCATAGGCATACCAGGCACAAGGAGGTCCGGGTTTGCAATTGACTTTGATACTTCACCTGTAGTGATTGCAAAATCAACCAGAAACATGCCGGAACTAAAATCCACTCTTCTTCAGGACCCAGTATCTCTGCTGAGCTCAAGTCCGTCAAGGCATGGTTATCGCTCAAGATTTCACCGTTCTTAAGAAGGCGCTGCTTGTAGACAGATGTGCCAAAGAGAGATTTGCAATAATCTTTCAAAGACCTGACGACTTCACTAGTAGCCAGGCTACGGTTAGCGCTTGGCAGCTGTTTGATGGAATCTGCATTGAATTGAGGTGAAGACTGGTTGAGAAATCCAAAACGCACGGAGCATGACTTAGTTGCAAGCGTGCCTGACTTTGTTGCCATGTTTTAAAACGAGTCTTTCCAGTTCTTCATCATCCAATTGCGCCACCTCCTCACCCGAGATATGGCGAATGATCAGCGCCATGGAGCGAACAGACTTGTCGATCCCAAGGGCTGGCCTTTGTTCCTAGTAGCGTCCTTGCTCCCAGTAGTACGGCCAGGAGCCCCTAGTAGCAAGCGTCAATTGTATAAATGAGGAATTGTGAAGACTTCGCGCAACCAGTTTGCTGCTCTCATGTCACAGTGATGACTAGCAAGGCTATGGCTGCAACCAACCGCATCCTCGCAATCGAATGGCTTCAAATGATGCGTAGAAACAGCTGCCAATCTGGCCGTGGTTTCCGTGGCCATGACACTGCCTGACACTGACCTGAGCTATTCTCTTCGAGTGGCACTGTCCATCTCCAACCCAGCACTCATCACAAAGTATGTCCCTTCTGGAGGCACTGGCACCGGGCAGTACCTCGGTCGCATTTAGCCACAAGGGTACCCAAAGCTCCTGCCCTTTGCCTAGTAGAGTTCTTGCTCCTAGTAGCGATGCCCTTTGTTCCTAGTAGCTTCTTGAGTTGACGTTATTGTAAGTTTAGTTTTAATGATGTGTTACTGTCACTATTATCAGGCACTGGGCAAACAGCCAGATCGGCATGAGCGGGGACCTGGTTGATAACGATTCTTTTTGGAGCTTAAAACATGTTGATGTTATCATCATGGACCACTGGCAACCAGGAGGGCACTCCACGACCTTGCTGCACTGAAGCTTTTGCGAGAGATCTGAGATTCCATCACCTTGGCCAAGATTACAAAGAATGAGAAACAAGCAGCTACTAGGGGCTCCTGGCATCGCTACTAGCAGCAAGGACGCTACTAGGGGCTCCTGGCCGTACTACTAGGAGCAAGAAGCCACTAGGGGCTCCTGGCATCGCTACTAGGAGCAAGGACGCTAGTAAACACACCGCACCTGTGGGCTGTTTTTCGGCAGGCATCGTTAGGCATCGTTCGGCCCAGTAAAGGTTTCATCAGATTTCATCCGCTTTTCGTTGCCTCACATTGTACCTACCTCCGCGTCGCTTCTCCTCTCGAGGTCTCGCTGCTTCTTCATACTTCCAATTTGCTTGTCGAGGATATTCCTTAAATCAGATGCTTTCGTAAGTTGGTTTTATGCGGGACGGCTGGGGAGGTTTGGGCCTTTCAACATGCGGGTGAGCATCGAGCTGTGCACAGTTTACTTACATTTCGACATAGGCCTCGCGCTTGTTGTCACTTTGTCAATGCTCTGGCTCACTGCCACCACTAGGGTTTTCATGGCTGTCAATTTTCCACACAAGAGGGCTACCCTTCAAACACGACGCTAGCTAGGGAAGGTAGTCGTACTCACAACCACACAGCTGGGCATCCCTCACCCCATGATGAACCAAAATTTTGTATGGGTTCCAAAGCGAATGAGAGGTTGGAGGGCTGCAGCTAGCCACGTCACACCTCACTGCATCTCTTTTGTTTAGGGTTCCCAGATATGATATGCAAATAGGGAACGAGCTAAAACACACTGCTTCGCCAGCATCTGCGGAGGTGGTGTGTTTCTTGCTGATCTGTCCAGACCGCCTTCTTCATACACTCTGAATAGATTATTTAAAAATAGGTGAAAAAGGCGGTAAGGGCTCCTTCAAAAAGGGAACCTTACCTTCTTTTTCCCCAGCTCTTTTGGCATGTCCAGCTCCTTTCTGGTCCTCTCAGGGTCTGGAGGGAATCCGCTGGACTTAGATCAAGAGGAGTGGACTTGACTCGGCAAATTCCAATATCATCATCCCTCATTGTCGCAAGAAGCAGCCCTAAGCCCTAAGCAATCTGTCCAACCCGAAACCAAACACATTCAGAAGCAAGACGTTCAACACACTGTCCCATCCCAAGCAGGTCACTAGCACGCCATTCGCCCGTCAAAGAAGTGGAGGCTTCACCTCAGGATCTTAAAGCTGTCGACCCCTCCACCGACCTAATGTCTTCTTGAGCCTTGGCATTCTGTATTCCAGGTTAAGAATTGTTCGAGCCCAAAATGTCACTTGTATGTTTTAGGCGCGAATCAAGCCCCACCGAAAATAGTCTACCCACCGCAGACGATCCAAATTACTAAGTCTCCAATCTAAAATCTAGATTCTCCTGGAGCAAGAATGGTATTCCCCACAAGAGTTGAACGTGTAAAATAGTCAGCATGAAGCGTCGAAGGCCAAGTGGCCAAACTTGTAAACCAACAGCAATCAGTGTGATTCAGTCTAGTGGTTTAGCTTTCCGGTTTAATTTCCCTAAAGGCTAGGAACCGTTCATAGAGCAAGACCCCAAGTAGGCAAGTCTTTTGCATCATTGTTGCCATTTACAATCATTTCGGATGCAAATCTTTTGCAATCCGTGTCTCAAGGCAAGTCCAACTCGTCGCCACTAAAGCCTTCATCTGAAACATTTGTTGAAAAAGCACAAACAGGTTCATCATGCCCATCTTCTGGAGTTGTCAAGTGAAGTCGTTCAGGTGTGACACTAGCGACACTAGTCACACTCACATGTCGGCCTGAAAGACGGGTTGCCAAAGCCTCATCCGCAAGCTGCTCAGCCCGCGTCCTTTGCGTAGGTTGAGTCACTGTCGGGGAGCGGCTACCAGAAGATGGCCCATCACTGCGTGCCACTGCGGACTGAAGGAGTTCCGAGAAGGTTGGAGAACTGAGAGTGGGCGAGGAAGAGCCACTGCTGTCAGCCTCACCACCTTCAGCACTCTCAGGAATTGGAACGGAGATTGCTTCAGCCAAGCCAGGAGCTCCAGCCCCAGCCCCACCGACCGCACCTGCTACAGCTGTGTTTGGACGGGAATCTGCTCGGAAGTGCTCTTTCATGCGGGAATCTGCAGAATCCTCACGGTTGTCCAACCTCAAGGACCCTGGTGCAAACCGCGAGGGACGACGGCCAGGTGGTTGCAAAGGCACACCCCGAAGATGTGGAGATGGTGCTGATGAGGCAGATGAAGGGGTCAAAGGACTGAGGGGACTCAGAATCGCATCCTTTTGCTCAAGCGGCTCAAGCGGCTCAAGCAGTACTGGCTCAACCAGTCCATCACTCCTCTGATTGATCCTCTCGCAATCGGCATCACTGGCCAATGCCAAGGATGCCAACATGCCACGAGGCCATCTAACATCTCTGACCAAGTCCTGGTGTTTGGGTCTGTCAGGCCTGTCAGGTCTGTCAGGCCTGTCTAGCTTCTGCAGCAATTTCGCGATCTCTGCTTCCAGTTTGCCCATGCGCCCTTCGACCCCGACTGACGTGCCATCACGAGCCTCCAATGAGCCGACACGTTGCTCCAGGGACTGGACCACTGTCCAATAAACACGCTCCTCTCCTTGCACCCGGGTCTCCAGTTCAGCTACACCATGAACTGCTCTACGAAGATCCTCTTCGGCACTCTTCAAGCGTCCTTCCAAAGAACTTGAAAGCGACGGAATCAACTTGTCTTCGCCCTCTTTTTCAGGTTTCAACTTGCCCAGAGGGATTTTATCAGAGATTTCTTCTCGTAAGGAAGTCAATTCCATGTGCACCTCAGCCTTTAGTTTGGTCACAGCGGTTTGCGTAGCCTGAAAAAGCTCCTCACTCCTTTGTTCCAAGTGACCCTGAAGTCGTCTTTCAATGGATTCTAGATCTTCACCTAGCCACTCAGACATGCGTTCTGCATCCTCCCGGAGTGGTTTTGACAACCCATCGATTCGCTTGGACAAATCTCTGCAGCGGGCCTCAGCTTCAACCCGAACTGCAGCTGCTGCTGCTGTAGCTGCTTCTATGCCATCGCGACCACACTTCGAGGAAGCAGCCGCCAACTCTGCAGCCGATGCGATCGCCTTTTCCAAAGACTTAAAACGAAGATCGAAGCCTCGTAAACGACGATCAAGGCCAAGCATTGTGCGCGCTTGTACTTCCATCTGTTCTTTGGCCTCATGATTTGGGCTTTGCTGACTTTGCCTTCGTGCACCGCTTGCACTTCCGTCCGCTCTTTCCGCCTTTTTGCGTGGCGTCGCTTTGAAGCGCAGCAGCGCTAAGCCATCCTCGGCTTGTTGCAAAAAGCCTTTGATGGTTGGGCTAGGCTCGCTCATTGCGAACTTGAGCCGAATCGCTTGGGTCGATCTCTCGGAAACTCGACCTTAGAAACTGGCTTCTGCAAGAAAGAAACGGATTTAAACTCGCTTTCCGCCGAGCCTTTGATTGCAGCTGAAGGGCAAGTGAAGGCATCGAAGCCCCCAGCGGGCGCATAACCCTCTGCACAGCCCACATGCGCTTGGCTCTGGAGGAACCGCTCCTGTGCCAACGGTTGTCACCGACGCTTCAAACACAGCAACGAGTCCAAGACACTGTCAAAAGTATTCATGTCATGTTGAGTGTATTCGCACTCATTTTTTGTATCAAACTTCAAGCGCTTTGCATCCCCAATTTCAGACTTATCTTGAGACAGTCTTGAGGGAGAACATGAGGGATCTTTTGGATAGGTGGTACCGTCCACCTACCAAAATAATAAAGAAATATTTTGAGGTGGGTACACCCACCTGGGATTTACTATGTCTGAGAGTCCTGACTGCCTAAAATAATATTCACTGATTTTCAAGGGTCTTGCTAACATCATACAATTTGGAAAATGGAGGTGGGTGGTATATTCCTGGGGATGTAACAGGAGATTCATGGAAAGCGTCACACACAAGTCCTTGCACAGTCAACCACTAGAACATTAATTTGCCGCGCTCTTCTTTCTGCTGGGTGGGTACCTCCCTGGGGTCCTTGGATACTATCACCTCCAAGTCCTATTGAAATTATTTTGGGGTGGGGGACCCCTCCTGAGCGCCTTCAATAGCACCACTTGATGGCTTTGGTGGCAAGCCACAGCCCAACGCAGCCAATATGTTTGCTGATTGAAACTACTTTTTTGGGGCTGGGGTACCTCACTGAGACCCTTGGACGGTATCACCCGATGCCAGTTTCCCAGTCCTATTGAAATTATTTTGGGGGTGGGGGACCCCTCCTGAGCCCCTTCAATCTAAGAGAAAAAACAAGTTGCCTATTCATAAAATGCACCGACCAGGTGCCAGTATCAAAATGTAAAAAATAGAACATCCTGCTACAAAATGCCTCCTTGAGCCTAACAGCCTCAAAAGCACTCAAGTGTATAAAGTGCAAAAATGGACCTCATACCTGCAAAACCTTCAAAAGTGCGAACGGATGGAAGGTGTGCCCTGGCCCCGTTCTAGCTCTTAGGTCAACATGAAGCTCGCGCGCTAAAGCTCCTTTTTACCTGGTTGGGCACTTGAGCCAAAAGTATATGGCATGTACCTGTATAGCGACTATACTGGGACCCCATCCCTATTGACACCCCCCACATCCGTACTTCGACGGGGAAGGGAGATGAGTGGATGTAAAAACCGGAGAACGCACCACGTTCTCAAAAGTGCATTGGAGGTCAACCAGTATGTCCTATTGAACTGAATTAGCAAAATATCTTGCATTCGCTTGAAATTTTGGACCAAACAGGCAATGGAGCTACAAGCGGAAAACGTGCACCTACCTATGGTATCATGCGATTACCAATGGTGTGATACGTAATCCTATCTCACTCCCATGATGCCAAAACGGTCATCATGAATTACCCAAGATCCCTCAGTACATGAAGTACCGGCAGTGGTATGTCGGCACGACCCCAATGCTCAACCATTCGTGAGTTGTCGCATGTAGTCAGCGCCGACAAAGCCAATGTAGTCCTTGATGAGCTCAACGTTCCTTGGGTTTCCCGCTCGGATCTGGTCCTCGAAGAGCTTCAATTTCCTTTCCTGGACATTGGATACCTCTATGCCATAGTAGCGGCATGCAACGAGGATCTCCTTCGTGACATTCTTCCTCTCCGATTTGATGGCAGGACTAATGTCGATGAATTTGTATGGAGCGGCACTTTCGTCATCTGGTTTCTGGTAGTAACTATATCGGCTCGCTCCGAAGGTCTTCTTGATCAAGCGTCTGATGAAATTCGAGATGAATGCCAATTTCTCGATGATCTCGTCCTGGGTCTCAGACTTTCGAGCCTTTGGATCACTCGCGCTACGCTGAGTGCTGCCGACCTCTTTGAGGTACTTGTGGCTAAGCCCGCAGCGGATTGCAGTGATCATCATCGGATGAATAACGTGGGCGTGGAATTCATAGATCTGCCACGCTTCTGTTGCATACGTGTCGTTGGTCCATCTGCTCATGCCTACGACCTCGGCTTTCTGGAGACGTCTTGGAAACCCAGTATCCGGATCATTCGGTACTATCGGCCATCTGTTGAACGGAGTGTCGTGCCGCTGTCCATCGTCGAACATTCGTAGTACATCTTCCCGATTCTCGAAGCAGTTGATGTCGAATGTTGCGTTGGCCAAGCTTTTGATCAGCTTCATCAACCTCAAGTCAAATTGCTGTGTGACAGCAAAGTTGTGGTCGATGGGGATCGCAGCTTCTTGCGGCAGTTCATCAATTGCGAAGGGGAAAGGCTTCGGAAGTTCATTCCCGTATCCATCTTGAGGGACCTCCCGATACTCGGGTTCGCCTTCAGCTTCGTCCGGTCGTTCCTTCAAAATGATAGGAACTTCCTCCTCTTCCTCTCCTTCGGATTCTTCGATATCAATGACCTCTTCGGCTGTCTTGCGTGCTTTCTTGATGACTTCATCAATGTTTGCACCTGCAGCAGAGGTTGTTTCACCGGAAGAACTGGCTGGTACATCTTTCGGAGGTGATCGTTGACTGCGGTCCCTTGTCTCCTTGGGTACCACATGTGTGAGCTTCCCATTCGCGATCAAAACTGCTACGCAGTGTGGACATATCGTCAATCGCACATCGACTTCGCCAAGACAGTTGGGACACGGCCTTGAATCGTAGTCTTTCATCGCTCGGCGATACACGATCTCCTCGAAGAGTTCCTGCCACTCGGTGTTGTTATGCTCTGGGTAGACACCACTCTCCTCGATCATACCCAACATCTTTGAGATTTTGGCGTCGTCCTCGGAGTAGGTATCATCCAGAACCTCAACCGCCAGGCTCTCAAGCTTTTGAAAGCGTGGAATCATGATAGGGTTTCCGTATTTGGACTCCAGAACAAGGTAGCTTCCAGGGTCGGGTTCTCCATTGAGTAACCGGATCCATTCGATCTTCTCATGCTGCCCGGGCTCCGCATTGTCGCATTGCAACCATGCCCCTTTAACCTCATCGAAGGGAACGACGTTCTCAACCAGTAGAGAGCCAGTCGCTGAAATGAGAAGTCCGTACTCCTGCAGCTTCCACACCGGAATGTAGAGAACCACTGGGCGGTCACTCAATGCGACTTTGCGACCCAGCCAAGGTTTGCCCTTGTAGCCCTGCTCCCAGGCTCATGGCGGAAAACATGTGAAGTGAATAGAATCCCTTCCCGATGAACCGAGACCTCCCGGCACCAGCCCTCGTCGCATGATTGAAGTCAGCGCTCCGAGATTGGTTGCGTGAAATGCAGTCACCATAGATAGGGCCATGTCGTTGGTCATTCTCGATCCAATGTGGTCGATGTCAATGGTAACGTCATAACCTCCGCCGTCCGTCGAATGTGCCGAGGTTGCTCTCACGGCCACGGGAAAGCACCATCCATCGCTATGGTGGAGTCTTCCTTTGGAGATTCCCATGTCTTTGAGTTCGTTGATCCATCCCTTCTCCATCGGGTCATCAGGCTCATTGAGTTCATCAGGATGGACGCGGACCGCCAACATTTGGAATCTGACCCTCTTGGTAATGCGGAAACACTCATAGTTCTGGTCGAAGAACTTCTCCAAACGTGCCTTCTTGGTCACAATATCTATGTTGCCATAGTGATAACCGTCTTCCCAAACTGTATTGTCACCTAGCAGGTCTTCCCATGACACCCATGCACCTTCATCGCATTTGATTGGTGCGAGTCTTCCTCCTGTCCTGAACTGACGTCCAATTCGATGTCTCAACTTCGCTCCCAATCGGCGACTCAGGGCCTGGCTCGCTTGGCTGTACTCAGGTACTCGACAGTCTGGAGTCGGATACTTGTGGTTGCCGTAGTCGGAGTTCGTTGCAGCGAAAGTGACTCCGTTGATCGGTACTAGTTCAACTTTCCCGACCATCGTCATGGGGTCGATCGGCTTGTATCCCTTCTCCTTCCGTGTTGGTAGGGGGTAGAAGTGATGGCATGCCTTTGGTGTGAGGGAGCTGGAGTGCACAAATGCCTCCTCGACAAACTCATACACCTGTCTCATATCCTTAGGGCCTGCTTCCACAAGCTTCCGCCCATTGTAGGAATGTGGTCCTCCTTCGACTCCATCAGCACTTTCGATCAAGGTGAATCCGTCATGGTCAAACATTGTCACGACTCTTGCTTTCAACATTTCTTTGCGCTTGAACTCGCTGTCGACCTTCCTTTCTGGAGTGGGCGACGCTCTCTGCTTCTTCTTCTTAGGCTGCTCGGTTGGATGTCCTGATGGTACATCATCGGGCGCAACCTCTCCCTTCACTCTCTTCTTCCAATCACTCAACACCGAGGTGACTGTAGGTGAGGATGAAAGGGTTCTCTTGCAATTGAGAGTGGTGTGCCCCGATTCCATGCAGTGGATGCAGAATTCCGCCCGCCCGATCTTCTTCTCAAATTCATCGATGGCGTGCAGTATTGATGCTTTCGGGTCGGACATGTCAACATCTTGCTCCTCCTTCTCCTGTGTGCCATCAGTCTCCATATCGACACCATCGGTCTCCATATCGGCACCTTCGGCCTCGGGCTCGCCAGTGGCTTCTGGTCCCTGCTCTGGCTCCTTTCCAATCTCGAAGAAGTGGTCGATGTCGAATTCTGGAGGTGGCATAGTCCTCATGCGAACGAGAATCAGCGCCACGTTTGCCGCCTCATCAGAGTGCGGGTCCATGGTTCTGATCATCGATCGCTTTCGGTTCTCATACGTTGTCCTGTCGTACAGCGATGCAGTGACTCGTTTGATGGATTCCTCTAATCCCGTCCTCAAAGCTTCGATGTCACCCCATCCCCTGAACAGGTGCCTGAAGAGTTGAGCAATTTCGAACATGCCCAGCAACGCTTCCACCATGTCACCTACCCGTTCCTCCGTGGGATCATTTCCGAATATAGTGCGGAATACATCGGGTTCCAATATGGTCTTGAGGTATTTGGTGTAGCATACGTTGCCAAGGTCATAGGATCCCTGGTAGTACTTGGCGTTGCCGATTATCTGCTTTTCCACATGGATGCTGGGTCCTCTCCTCGTTTTGAAGAAGTTCTCCGTCATTGTT